GGCACGGGTAAGTTGCCAGCAAGCAGCCACCGTGGGTCAGTGCTGGCTGCAGAGGTGAGTGTCGACACACAAGACAGTCACTGGCCACCACTAAATATCTGCATTCAGGTGGCAACTGCAATTGTGTAGGAATGCAGAGGGTTACAGCTCTAAGGATAGAATTTAGATGATTAAAATATGACCAAATGAATAGATCTGGAGCCCAACTTAACTACAGTCTCTTTCCAGTTGGAACAGGGAGTTAGGGACAGAGGCTTAAAAACCCATCTTGGAAAGGTGTGAACACAGGAAGATTTAAAACAAATCAATACCACACAAACAATAGAAAGAAGAGAACAGGGTCCTAAACCAGACAGGTCTCTTCTTCAACTGTTCCCCTACAGGCATCATCAAACAACTGCAGGGATGGAACAAAAAATATTATCTGGAAATAATATGAAATGATGTCTTCAGAAATGTGGAAACCTTGAACTTGAAGTCTTGTAGAACGTGAGACAGTATCAAGGGGAAAAAAACAGGTATGTCAAAAAAGTAAGGTACCTTAAGCAGGAAGATCAAATGTTATGTAGTATGTGTGATGAGATTGGTTAACTGCACTACTGAAAAATAGGGCTTAACAGGACAGGTACCAGCTCTCTAGAAAAATATTTGAATGCAAAAGTAAACTGCAAATGGGAAAAGCAAACAATGTTACACAGCTTTGAAAAAGTAAATGTCAAAGTCTTATACACAAGATCTGAAGGAAGCTTTGCTCCTTGTCTTGATGAAGTTTCAGTTTGAATACTTGCTCCAGTTTTCAGGCAATGTAGTATTTCAAAATAGATGCAGACATTGTTGGAATGTCCAGAAAACATCCCATATGATAAACTGAAGTATTTGGGTTGTTTACCTTAAAGAGAAGACCAAAGAAACTTCACAGCAACTTTCAAATTTGTTAAGAGCTGCTGCAACGAGGAACAAAATAAATGACTCTTTATGTCCCCTGCGGGTAAACCACGAAATAATTGGCTTAAAGTGAGGTGGGGAAGATTTAGAACGGACATTTGGCAAAAAAATTACTAGCAGCAAGGAAAGTTTAGCACTGCAATAAATGTCCAATGTGTCAGCTGAATCCCCAGCGTGAGGGACAATGAATGGTAGTGGCAGCTCAGGCAGGCACTAGGGTTCAGGCTTTGCAGCAGTGTGACTTGCAGGCCTGGTTTTGGTAATACCAAGAAGTAGTCTGAATATCTCTGTGTCATCCCTTAGCTAGCGCAAGACCTGAACTCAGACAGTAAACACTCACAACAAATAAATTAGTTTATTGCTCTCAGTCTGCATCCTTGCATGTTAGGAAGTGAAAGAGACATTTTTAAAACTTCATCTGCCCTTGTCAGTGTATCAGTTTCAAATAATAGTTTTATATTGCTTAAAAAGTTTCAGTACTTGTACTTTTTCAAGTCTGTCTCTACATTTTATCTGCCTGCTCACAAGACAGAAATGAAACTAACAAAAGGATGAAAAAAATTATGTCTGATTTAAATGTTTCTTTTAACTTTTGCTATTTAATTTGGACATAATTCCATATATTTTACATAAGATAACATATTATTATATTTGAGTATAGAATTTATTTTTTTTTAAAATATGTTTTCACTGAAAGTAGACTTTTTTTTCATTGTGATATACACAGATTTCATGCTTTATCTGCTGAGGGATGTGATGTTGCCAGTATTGCTACCCCCTACACAAAAAAAGACTACATACAAGGTAGCAAGCTTTGAGAAAGGAAAAACACACCCACCTCATGTCACAAAGCCTGTATCATTTTTGTCAGGGAACCGAAGGGCTACAGTGTTTTTATACTTAATAACTGCAGTTACAAAAACAACTGGCTATCAATACTTGAGAAAGTGTACAATGAATGAGTGATGTACTTCCTCCCTGGTACAGTCAAAGGCACAAAGCTAGGAACAAATTCTGAGAGGTAGGTACAAAGATTCCATCATTACCCCGTAGACCACACACCCAACCTGCCATAAATGAAGATGTAGCTATTACCTTCAAGAACAAAACTAGATGTAATGAGCACTGAACATGGTCAGCCAAGAAGAGAAGGAGATGCTGGATCAAGCTTAGGATTGTTAGAGATATGGAAATATTTTTATTAAAATGTAGCACTTGGCAGTATTCTCATTCCAGGATAGTCACTTCATGAAAGATCAAAGAATAACCTCCTGGAGGCCAATCTAGACATCAAGGAAAGCAAGTGAAACATTTTTCTTCTTATCAGTGTGAAATGAAAACAAGAACTGTTATAAAGAAAAATGGAAAAAGACTAATAATTACAGTGACTATTGGATTATCTTTGCTTGAAATTTGGACAGACAAATGCAGATGGGGTATAATTTCTTCATTATTTAGCTGGAGCAAAAAATACTGAAAAGCAACCAGGAAAACAGTTTCTATGAGCAAAGCTACAGTTCAAACCAAGTTTACCAAAAGAGTACAGTATTTCCAGTCCTGTCATTAAAAAAGCTGCTAAGATTCTATTTTATTTTTAAGTGAGGTTATGAACTTGAGAAGTGGGAACAGTAAGCTAAAAACACATCCTGAAGGCATTTCTTCTCAAGCACTACTTACGTGGATTCAAACAACTGCATGTAGTGTTCATCCCCTCGTCCTCCTTCCACCTCGTGGTCCAGCTTCAGAATTATTTCATTTTCAAACTAATAAAGACAGAAAAATCAAAACACTGAGAGAATATCCAAAGGTCAAACACATTTTAATATACCATCAAAAGAATATCTTTGTGTAGTTGAATTACATATTCCCAACTGTTAAATGCTGGAATATATTCCAGTTGAATAATGCATACCTATCTCCAGATACCTGTTTCTTTGAACCAACTGATACAATAACCTGAGGAAACCATTTTACAGTGTCTGTCTTAGAGGTTTTCAAAGAACATCACTAATCTGAAATGCTGGATTTCAAAGTAGAATTACGTTCACCCAGAAAAAATCTGAGCAATCCTAGAGTATGCAATACCTTATTTATTTGTTATTTGTTAGGCTTATCTAGACCCTAATTAGCAAAGAGTGGCATATGAACAAAGACAGCAAACAATCAATTTTTGTAGCTAAGCATAATTCTTTCCCCTCTACTGCCTCATTTCTTCAATTTTACTTTACAGTTATGACACCGCTTTATATGGAGCTATCAGCCACCTTATTTCTCTCCTTTTCAGATCACAAAGTATCTTTTCCCCCTCTCTGAATTGAGTAAGAATCTATGTAGCCTGTGTGCATGCAAAGGGAAAAAAACTGTTCATATTTCTTCACTGGTCACAGCCTGTGACCTTAGCTGTCACTAATCAGCCAACTCTTCTAACTCCAAGGCTTCTAAATTTCCCTTTATCCACACTTGGCTTACAGAGAAGCCCTACATGCCAGTCTGCAGAATCACCCTTGAAACTTCAACCTGACTACTGGTCTCCATCATTCCTGCAAGAAAACTTTGAAGCTGCATATCTGAAGATATTATCTATATTATTTACTTGCAATCGTGTTGCATCTTGTAACAACCTCTCTCATACTCTTCAGGTAGTTTTACATAATTAAGCAAGGGAAGAGTATCTCACCGTATTCAGAAAAAGCTAAAGTCTATTTTCATTGTTTGTCACAGAGGCAAAAAAGTTATCTGGGAAACTAATGCTAACCTGGAAAATTGTTGTTACAAACACACACACAAATTGTCAGTGACAATAGCTTGACATCTTTAAAGTGAGATAAACTCCGGCAACATCTCTTGAGAAATTCTAGGTAATATACCACTAACATACCATAGTAATAAATCAGTACCTCTTTGAGAAATGGCAGCACACATTGGATTGGTTTTTAACCCAGCACTTTGCAGGATCATATCTTGATTCTATAAAGCCTTTTAAAAATGTTATTATGTTATAGCAATGTAAAAATACAATTGTAATTTGTTGTTTCAAAGCTTTTGCAATATATAGAAATATATATGGAATATATATGGAATACACAGGAAATTGCTTTATCATTTTGAAAGGGTTAATCCATTGTAACATGTCTAGATGAGGATTTGTAATTAACTTGCAATGCCTTTACCCTATGTTATGCAAACTGCATCCAGGACCGGGAAAGTCAAACCATGGAAACCATAATACATGCACATGATTGGTTTGGGTTCTCCCCTGCCCCTTTCCAAGCATTAAGATTTACACATTCAAAAATTGTCATCAAATAGTTGTTATTTATGTAGCGAACTTGTAACTGGAATACATGAGTTGGGGTTTTGTGGCTTTATTTCCTTAATAAAAAATGAAAAAATACTGGGGGGAGGGGGCAGAAGTCAGTTAAGAATTTACTGGGAGAGGGTTCCAGGGAACATAGCCCCCCATTAACATTGTCCGGTGTAGACCCAGGCATTCTGAACCCAGCTGCTGGGTATACTAGGCTACTGCTGTCCTTCAGACAGGATCTGAGACAAACCAAAGCAGTGAAAAAATAAACTGTTCTAAAATGATCTGATACATCAACCTTAGAAAATGGAGAATTAATTAAAATTAATGTAATGTACAAAAGTTGCATGGCAGAGTATAATTTAATTCAATAAGCTTAGCAGAAATAAATATTAATATAATATGTTACAAAAATAACCCCATCACTGACTAAAAAGCAGTCAGCCCATTAACATATCTATTACCAAGCTTCACATATTATGTTGTGAAGAAGCAGGTATCTTTCTGCACCTGCAGGTGGGAAATGGACACCACCAGTGGAAATCCCCTTCAAGGCAGAGCCATTCTTTTATTAACCAGTCTCTGGCTCTAACTACAATGGGAATACTTTTCATGCTCTCTGGGTACCTCAGGCAGTTCGACCTTGTTCTGTGTTTAGCCTTCACTGAATATTTTCAGTGCTTCTAAGCCTCTTGTAATCATTTCCTTTTTTTTTTTTTTTTTCATTCTTCATTCTTTGACATCTCTTTTTGGTTTATTATGTGAAAACCTTAGAATTTATAAAACCTTGCCAAGATTCATTGGCTTGATTCGTTGTGTGGGCTTTTAGCACTGCTGAAAGCCTGGACAAAACTGTTCAGTAAGCTTCCAGTTCGTTTGGGCACACCCTCTGAAAGGAAGTATGTTCCATCCATCTCAAAACCTTACTGAAGCTCTAGTCATTCTTTGTTCTTGTCCAACTAATTGTGTTATGTTTAGATACCATCACACCAGAAAACAATTTGATAGAGATTTGTAAAGAACCCATGCACTTAAAGAAGTAAGAGTTTTTAATGCCAACACTTTTTAAAACTTTCCTAATGTGGATGTCAAGGTCCTCATGCAGCCACAAAATCTCAACCCCCTCACCTCAAGATACCTACTAAAATCCTTGAGTATCATATGAATAAATTACTTAGGTGTGACAGAGTTTATATTTCTTTCTATGCACAAATATCTATTCATGTATACTGACTGTTTGGCACTGCTACACACAGCACAATGAGGCAGCAATAGAGACATGCTGAAAATGAGCTCCCTCGTGCCCTAGGAGTAAGCATACATGCTACGGAGAGAGACATGCAGAGGAGTGCAGATAAGAAGATAGGTAAGTGTGGGTTAGAAGACATTTGAGAAAAGCAGGAAACAAGTCTGAAAGAGACTCCTCCAGGTTCTAAAGAAAAATTAGTGTCCCAGTAAGACGTAGCCTCAGATCAAAGAAACCTCAGCAGAGTATTTTCAAGAGGTGGGAAAGATCTAGCACAAGGTTCTAAGTAAGCCATTAACATGTCAAGAGGCACAGAGAAAGCATTAGAAAACTAGATCCACACTGAAACAAAGCTCTGTTGCTTTACATAGATATAATTATTAAAAGCACTGTAAAAATGACAGAATTCATTACTGTAATAACATGGCAAATATTCACATTTTTCGTTTACATTTTTCATTATAGGAATTATTCAGTTTTCTCCCTGTTGTGTTTCTGTGTAACTGAGAGCTTTGGCAGGCTGGCATCCAGATCCTCCCATCAGACAACTGGAAGCCTTTGATGGCAGAATTACTGTAGTATTTCATACACAGTACTGTTAGGGAACTGCAATGCAACCTATTTTTTCTTACTCTAAATGCAACCTTATCAAAAACTTCAGCCTTCAGTAGAAGAAGCCAAGCCCAAGGCTTCATAAAAGAAAACATTTCTTCCACTCAGAACACTAAGCAAGTCACAAATATTTGCAGTTGAATATTTTGGAAGGGACAGTTCCTTCAGCTGTAGAGAACACAACATTCTAACTGCACGTGTTACTACATGTACTTGCTTCAAGCAGGTCATGATTAAAACTCTCAATTCAGAAAAAGTACTCAGCATTTTTGAAGACTGAAGGTTAAGCAATCTCTGATTTTCTCCAGAATATTTTATATTCTTCATCTTTGTCCTGAGATTCAGCTAAAGACCACCAGTGAAAGTCAAAGTTATTCCAGAAGATTAGCAAAGGATATGATTTTGCCCCTAATGTCACTAAGTGCAGTAATGTTAAAACAGCTTCCTGAAGAAACAGATTTCTAAGCTACATAATAGGTAAATACCTCTAATTATACATTTTTAGATCTATGCCTGAGAACAACCTAAAAAAAAAAATAAATTTAAAAATCCACATTCTATTCAGATTTCAAGTTTTCAGATAGCTGACCTATGTTACATCCTTGCTGCCCATTCACTGTAGAAATTCTCAAGTTTTGCTTTCTCACAGCAACAAATTCAATTCCATACTGAGACAGAAGCACTATTTGGGTGACTCAACCAGCATTCATCAGAGACAGCAGGAAGCCATACATCCAACCCCATATCTACTGGGACATTCCAATGCTCCAAACTGCTCTTCAGACAAGACAAGACAGGAGACTGAAGTGGACTGCTGCTTCTTGCAAGGAGCTTTAAAACAGTGTCTTGAGAGGCCTATATTCTACACTCATCACAACAAAGAGCAAAAAACTGGGTGAAGAAAATTAGGCAATACAGATGCACTTCTCTCTTCTCTAGAAGGGGCAGGGAGGAAGGAGCAAGTTCAACCACATCATATCTCTTAGTCTAGGTCAAAACAACAAAAACCCAGCTGTAAATGTGTGAAACCAGAAATGTTCGTGATTATAATGCAGCCCCAGAGAGATATGCTTCAAACAGAAATATTTAAACACTTTACAGGGGTTCAGTGTGAAACACAAGAATGTGGATACAAGTTGTACACACGTTGTTACACATGATGCAATGGCACAGACAAGTGACTTCAGCCCAGCACCAGGTATAGTGTATTTTAAGATGACTGTGTAGGTAAGTAATGTTCAGGAAAACAGGAATAATGCTGTTTCAAATGGACACAGAATGGTTAAAATATTCTGCTGCCTGGATGAAGAGGAAAGTTGAGAAAATATGTTGCTATTTATCATCAGTGAGATGCCTACATATAAAAGGTCAATGCTGAATGTGAATTTGCAAGCCAGTACAGTATGCATACGCAAAACATTAATAGCAGTACAGGACTAACTCCAGCAGAACTGAGCAGCATGTAGCCATCCAATACTCCAAGAGAAGTTGGCAGAAAATGTTTCATCTCTGTGGCATACTGATTAGGCTCTACAGTGCTCCTCAAAATCCTTAATGACTTCAGATCTTAGAATCTCCATTTAAAAACTAACCGTAAGAGGGTTCTCAGAAAACTTTGTGGTTATATAAACTATAAATTGTTCAACAACCCCATTTTCTGATTTGAGTAGAAACCAAGGACTACAATACTAGTACTACTTCTTAATTATTTATTTTTTTTTCAAATAAAAGGGAACTGTATTCTTTCTTTAGCAGCTATAAAGAATTTCAGTTTGTCAGGAGTACCAATACTTTGTGATCCAAAACAATTCTTTGCCCTGTTTCTTGCAGGTTTTTCTGCTCTAATATTAGCTCTTTCTGTAATTAGAATACAAATTAAATATTGCCAGTGGAACAGTACATACTATACCAATAATAGAGAATAAAAAGCTATCATTTAAATATAGAAAAAGAGAAAAACAATATTACTCTGGCTGGCTCAGGCTGAAAAAGAAGTTTAAAGGGCTCAGAATTAATTTCTATGTTTAAGTATTATGTATACTAGTGTATGCACGTTTGTTAGTAACATGAGTAACCTAAGTACTTGGCAGTTTCAGAGCAAGGCAATACTTAGCAAAAACATCCAATCCAGCCATTTTCTATAGCTGAAGTCTGTGGTCTTACTACAGTAAGACAGAAATCTGTGAATATAGTGTAAGTGAGGCACCAGTTAAAAATATTCTACTTCCTAAATCCTTCCTAGTACTTATTCAGCAGGTAGAGAATTGATTACTTCTCTGAGAGGCAATAACTTCACAGATGCTGGATCTGAACAAAAAAAAAAAAAAACCTCTTCCTAAGCATCTTTCTTTGAATGAAAATAATTTTTAAAGCTGGCAGAAATAGTTTCAATGTGGCTTTGCCAAAATTAAGGCCTGGAAACTCTAACTTCAACAGTGTGCCTCATTGTCACCATCACCAATCTGGCTTTAAAAACACCCACTTGTTTATCTAACAGATCCAATAAATCACCACATCTGTGAACACACTTCAATACCTAACCACAAAACATCTCAATTTTTTCTACATGGACCAAGCAATACAAACTTGATTTCTGCTTATGGGATGATCTCACATCCTCCTGGCATCCGTATGCATAACTCAATTTCAAGAACTGAGAGTGAGAAATACAGGTATCTACAGCAATTATAAATCACATGTACCAGAGAAGGTGGCTCAGAACACTTCTATTCACTCATTTAGTAACCCTTCACAGCTGCCAGCTCACAAAGGTATGAGACTTCAGCAGGTTCACTAAGAACAAACACCTGTCCCCTAACCCTACCAACAGCTATGCAAGCCCAAGAACACCCATCAGTCAGCACTGTTTTCTCACACAATCAAAGAACAACCAGGAGGGAAAGTAAATATAGACGACTTGCCTAGTTGGCTTCAGCAACTGATGGAATCAATGAGAGACACTAAATTGAAAATACCAAACACAAACAGAATGACTTATTTGAACAAGACTATAAACACAGATTAATCTTTCCTGAGCCAAGTTAAATCCTTAATGAAACTTGAATCCATGTTTATTTCAATATTTTATTTTACTCTGCAAAGAGCTAATTTTTTTTTCTTTTAAATTTGGTTTGGGTTTTGTCATTGGGGTTTCGGTTTGTTTCTTTTGGCTTGGTTTAGGTTTTGTTGTTTGCTTCTGTTTTCTAAGTAAGTCTTTTCCAGCTTTTGGCCTCAGATGATCAGTTCGAAGAAAAAGTACAAGATTGCTTGATGTGTCTTTTTAATAAAGACCTTAATAAAATGGACAACCTGATCTTCCAAGGAGAGATAGGTTACCAACATTTTGTGACTAAAATAGTAAATATTAATGACCTCCTCCATATATCTTCAATAAAGGTTAAGTTCTACAGAACTGCCCAACTTAGAGATACAAGATTAAGAAATTTATCTTAATTACCTCATCTATAGGAAAGAAAATAATAAAACCCAGTTTTATTGACCAATGAATGATCACAATTTCTAAAGCAGAAAATTAGAATCCAATGAGACTCAACTGCTCACTTATTAAATAGTTTTACTGCCACATGATAAAAGTTACCTCTTATTTTTAAGCTGCAATAAAATGAATGTCCTTGTTCCTCAGCACTGAAAAAATATCATTTAAAACTTATTTATATTAGCATAAGAAGTGATTTAAGGGTCTGGTATCTCCCAGGCTCCTAAACTCTTGTTCTTGTTAATCAGTCAGTATGACTGATGAGTTTTCAGGATTTTTGGATTGCACAGATCTGTACATCTCTCCCAGGAGATGAAGTATAAGCCAAAAGAAGGAAAAGATTTTTAAGAAGGAAAATATAGGACTATTAAGGCATGGAGAGAACAGATGCACAGAAGCAAAGCGATTTTTAATCTTGGCTTTGAACCAAAAGCTTTGCACTGTGGAATACAGACCAAAACGGAAATTCCATCTGCTCATTTGTTCCAGACTTAGTTGACAGAGAAGTGCCCCACATGGCTGAAAGTATTAAACGTAGCTGGGTACATGAGTGACATAATCATACTTTCCAAAGGATGTCTAAAATGATGACTTTTTGTTTGCCACTTAGTGTTCCACAGATTGTCCTGAATTAATTGTGCAACTATGAAGTCTGAATCTCCAATTTAAAATTTACAGTGAAAGGCAGAGTGTGAATGGAATAATGGGAGTCCATGTGCAAAGGCCTTGCAGAAAATGGAAAAGTCAACTAGGAAAGAAATGGCCAGGTACCCACTGCCCAGGCAGACACTGCAAATAGTGGCAGGAAATTTACATGACAGTCCCAAATGTCCTATCCCCCCATCCCAATTTCTATCAAACCTATTTAAAACTTGTGATGTAAAAATCCTTTTCAAATTTGCTGTAGAAACTACATCAGCAAAGTCAGACCTTCACAGAGGTTATCTTTCTCCTAATAAATGTTGGGAGAAGTTAGAGTTTGCTGAGAAGTCTGATAATACTTCATTAACAATTCACTGCTACTTCTGTCAGACATTCTGTATGAAAAATTGCAAGTTTTGGTTTATCAATATCTAGGTCACAAGGAAGGGCTATCACAAAAGATGTAGATCAGAAAGGGCCTCTAGAGGTCAATTAATTCTACCTTTTACCTATTTGAGGGCTGACTTCAATGTCATGCCTTGTTGCTCAGAACCTCTCAGTAACGTTTGTAAAATTTTGATAAAGATTCTGTAACCTCTCTGTGACCCTATTTCAGTGCCTTATTGCTGTTATTGTGATGCAAGTATTATGCCAATTCTTACTATTTCACTCTGGAGAGTCTATACTTACTTGTACAAGACCTCTTCCTTTTGATCTTTATATTTTTTATTTTACTTTCTGAAAGCAAAAAAGCCTATACAACAAATACTTAGTAGAAATAAACTGACTGTATGACATCACGATGAATTTTCTCACAGAGTAGTTTTAGTTACCTTTTTGAATTCTCCTGTCCTTTGATATTCACACAGCATCATGTCAAAGAAAATTGGGATTGTGGCTTTTCGTAGTTCAACTTCTGGAATAAGAGTCATTTCCAAGATGGGTCCAACCATCCCCGGAATAAAGCAAATTTTATTCTGGCCTTAAACAGAAATGCAAATTAGGTACTTGAGAGAAAATAAAATACTGTTTTTAGGGGAACGTTTAGAACATACAGTTGTTTAAAGTACTGTCTTAAACTGTCTGTGTTGCTGAACTCTTACAATTTAGTGAGCCATCTCTAAGTATGTTAATGGATATAGTCTTATTCTAAGATGCCAGAATTCAGTACCAAAAATAAACATGTATGCCAGCTGAGTTGGCATTTTCAGTGAACATTTCAGTTCTTCAGCTTTTGTTGCTGCCTTTTAAACGGTTGAAGCAATAAACCTCTGACTCCCCCAAATTCTCTCAGTAGGAGATCGCCACACGGTAATGTTACACGGTGTAATCTTCCTAGCTTACAGAGGAAAACATAACTTGCTTTCATTTCTGAATAACGTGACACATTTATCTGAATAAATTAAGCCAACCAATGCATCAAACTGTGCAAGTAATAGCAGAAATACTATCTACACAACTCCCAAAACCACACTAAGTTATCTTGCATCACACCAGCTGCCAATGAACATCCAAATCTGCAAAAAAACTCAGTCAGGTCCAAGACATTCGTAAAATGTTTCTTGATACTTGGGAAAGAAAGATATGTGGTACGTGGAGCAGACAACCATCAAAAAGCCAATGACCTATGTAAGAACACCAAAACTATCCAAAGCTTGTAAAGAGACACAATATTCTCACAAACAAGTATGACTAAGTTGTTCCAGAATTAAAACGTAATCTGATTCCCATTTTCTTCTCGTATGGGTGCCTTCATAATCTTCCACTCATGTTGATTAAAATCATTATTAATCCCAGTTAAATCAGGAATGTCAATAAGATTGAGGAGAATCTTATAAAGAATGAATAACTTCCAATGCCTTTGAGCATTAGACCTTAGAGGTCTGTAATTTTTGAAAACCATAGAAATTAATGTAATGTGTAGCTATCCATGCACCCTAAAAAATCTTCATCCTCCCAAACAATGCTCTCACTTAAAGTAGAAAAAAAAAGAAAGTTTCAGCTAAATGACAGCAATATCTATTGCTTGATCAAGCAACTAATCTTACATTTAAAACCAAAAGAGCTTAGCACACAACTGATGAAATCGAGTCTTCTGATTAACTGTCTTAAACTGAACATTCAGCTTGCAGTTCAAAGTATAATCATAAGTATCATCAGAACTGCCATCACTATGTATTTCAAACACCCTCTGTAATATGTATTTTCCTAGAATAATACATTGCTGTTCTGTTTATCATAAGCTCTAAAAGCAACAGTAGCAGAGTGTGGTTGTACAACAAATACAAAAAAGTTTTGTAATTTTAATGTAAACAGATTCCAAAGCTGAGCTTGCTAATTTCTGGAACTGAAAATTCCAACTGAGTAGAAACCCTCCCAGGGAAAAATTTTGTGGCTCTCAATGTCAGCAAAATAATTTTTCTGAAATCTTCTGTTTTCAACCACTTATTTACTTTTTTTTTTTAATCTGAGGAAAGCTTGTGCGTAGTCTCAGAAATAAAAAAATAGGCCCTAGTCAAACTGTATCTCGTGTCAGTCCCAAGCTTAATTACAGGAGTGAAAACATATTTTAAATTCAAATAGCAGAAATATTTACAAAAGCACTTCATGTCAGATATTTTTCAATGAAACAAGGAATATGCCACGGATTCAGTTGCAACCAAGTTAATTTTCCTAACTCACCAAGTTTGTACCACATGTCACGTATAGCAAAGCCAATTAAACGTCTCATATCTCCATACCTAGGAAAAAAAAAAAAAAGACAGGCATTTTTATCATTATCTTTATCATTGTTTTACTAGAAAATTAAAGATGTAAGCTGAAGTATACATTTTTCCTTACTTGTTCTGGATTTTGTTGTATTTTGCATGGGAAAAGTTTTCTAGCTGTAGTGACTCCTGGGTAATAAAAGCCACAGCCAAATGAAAATAGTTGTTCCACAGCTGTAAATTGAATATAAGGAAATTGTAATACTTTTGAGAAAAGCAGGAATAATATTAAACTATGCATAATCTTGAATAAATTATGAAACCAAATGATGCAAGCAATGTGAAATGTGTATATTATGCAAAGATGTACAGCATCAGTATTGTGCAACTAGTAGAAATGCAGGAAAGATGAATTTGAATAACCACTAACATACATTTGCTCTTAAGAACACGGCAGCTGAATAAATATTGCCAAAAAAAGTTTCATATGAGATTCATTAGCTAACAACAGTAAAACATGACACATAGCAGGGTTGGTGAAATAAATTCCTTGCCGGTGAGTCCTAACAGCTGGGACTTAAAGGCATACCATATAATTACACTCTATTTGAGAACTGCCTAAAAAGGCTCCTACTATCTTGTCTTTGGATTTTAATTCAACAGACATTTGTGTGAAATCCAAATATGCTGTGTTAGGCACTCTCTGCATGAAACAAGGACAAAATACATCCCTAAATAACTACTAGCAGTACTGAGTCAGGTACTTGAAGTAGAAGAAAACCCCTTTTATTCCCAGTGCACAATCCTTCATTTCTGAAAGTAAATTACTTTTTCTCCAGTCAAAACGTAGTACTTCTCTCACATGCTAGAGATGGAAATGGAGAAAGGAAACCTCACCAGGAAACACAGATTCAAGGAGGTAAATACTACTTTCAGAAACTTCTAAGCAGTCAGCACTTAGACACTTCTTTTAAAGTGCACTTCTTTTAAAATGAGAGTTGCATCTTAAAGTATGCATGGTAGGATCACTGAGACAATAGAAAGAGAATGGTAAATGTATTCAGAGGTAATTTAAAGGATGGAAACAAAACAAATAGTTACAGAGCTCTGTTTTCTGTGTGGAAATACATCCCTAGGTTGGGAACCCATGCTAAATAGTCTAGAAATATAATGTTTCATTAGAAACTTTAAGTGACCTGTGTCCTTTATAACCTGGAAAAAATAAATAACCAGAGAGAATAGATACCAACACACAAAATTATAATAAATAAAATTTCAAACTTCTTCTATAATGTGAAGAAGATCCTGTATTCAATTCATTCCTCCCTTTGAGACCTGTCTGAAGCTGTCCTTAGCAGACTTGTTTATTTGAAAGCCCTTAGGAGGGCTGTTCCTGCCCACCTGTATTGACAGCTCAGAGCACAGTTATCCCCGGCACAGCTACACAGGCTCAAGCACCGTTTCACTGGAGACAGTTATTAATCTTTTACAGAGTACACATTCAAAGATGCTCTGAATTCACCCAAACCAATCACAGCCTTATTAAAAGCTACATTTGAATTGGAGCACCAGTAAAGCAGCAGCATTCCCCCCCCTCCCCAAATATTTAAATTATGCTCTTCTCTAATTTTTTGACAGTATACTAATAGCACATACTAATTCAGAGCATTTTTCCCCAGGATAAATGTTATTTATGCCCTGAAAGACCTGTTTCCCTCTGATCAAATATTTTAAAAGATTAATTTAACCAATTTAGAGTATTCAGTCCCTTGAGAAGCTGTGTTTATTGATGAAAAAGGGAATAGACTTTGCATATGTCAATTACACCAGTAAAATGGAATATTTCTCAAACCATTCTAGATTATGGAGAGAAAAATGAAACCTTATTGCTACAGTTAATGGTCTGTTTATCTCCTAACAGCTCCAAGTTCAGTACCACCTTTGCTAAAGACACACCCTGAAGACTCAATATCCTTATTTATAAAATAAACTTTCTTTCATCCCCACAGTACCCTATGATGACTGAAAAAAAATCCTTTGCATTTCAACAGTGTATCCAAGTAAATGACTTGCCAGGTTTTAAGTTCAAAGCTCACTTTAAAGTGCTGCGAAGCCAAGTAGCCTCTCTCAAGTATAAAACAGCAAAAGCTGATAGAAACAGACTTTTAAAATGAAAAAAAAAAAAAAAAAGCACCAAACCAGTTTGAGACCTGTTTTGTTTTCTCATAATCCCACAATAACATTCCAAACAGTTTTGCAATTGAACATGCAGTTACCTAGCATGTGCTAGGGCTGAAGTGAAGCAGCACAGTGGCAGGAGAGGACCTGAGCTCCCGTGGTCTGACTTGCTCCCTCCTCGTGCTTTGCTGTGTGCGGACAAGAACTCCAGTGCTGAGTTGTCAGCTGGGGACACAGGCTGCCGTTGGGAGACAAAGCTGGAGCTGAGAAGTGACCCTTCTCTGTTTAGTTCTCACCTATTCATTACAAGCTCCCACTGAGGTGCAGCACCTGACCCTAACAGCACAGGCTGCCTCCGTGTGTTCGAACACTTCAAACCATGGCAACTGCAGCTGCATGTTGTTAACTACACAGGCTGAGCAGGCTTCAGATCTGCCACTGCCCCTCTAGATAAGGACTAAAGGAACATAAACGAAGAGGATCTCCAATTGTATTTTTTGGTTAGAGAACACAAGGTGCCTTGCCCCTAGAAAACATGACAGCTGCATTATTGGAAAATCTGGAATTAACTTAGTAAGAAATTTCTAGCCATCTCACGGAGAGGAGGAGCTCTGGATGACTTGACAGCAGGACTACTGAACGTAAATACTGCTGCTCCTCCGTCATACACACCTCTGAAACCAGCACCTCCTTTACACTGGTGCCCACAGTTTACAACACGCTTTCTCTACAGACACCTTTGCTCAATTTTTCTTCATCACAGAGGAGAAACATAAAGATGCCTGAATTTCTGACAAATTATTGCAGATACTAAATGTACTCTAGTATTTCATAAAACTGACAAGATGATAATTTAGTTTAAAGCTTTTTTCTTGAAATATCATGGAGAAAGTAAGTTCAGCCCCTTGAGACCAGCAGACAATACATTGCAGATAGATACTGCCTTCATTTGATGTTGTAGAAAAATTACACTTATAAACCTTCTGAATGTATGCATAATACCAAACTATGTGTACTTACCACAGCTATCGAGCTAGCTTAGCTAGAAATAACCTATCTGAACCTTGAATGAACCTAAGAAAAGACCCATTGATTTCCAGGTTATATGACACTCTTAGTAACTGATCTTACTTCAGTAATGTTCTTTTCCAATATTGAAATACATTTCTTTGTCACTTAAAATGAAATAGTTTAAAAGAAATATCTATTTTTTACTGTTTTTGTGAGACTTTTGAGTACAGTTTTAAACAAATTGCTTAAATGGATCAGCTACAGATACTGAAATAGAATCACCAAGACAGCATGCATGGCTGCATCGTGCAGTCCTAAAACTCTGAACCAACATTCACGAAAATCATTCTGCATTGTCTTTTATAATATTATTTTCAAATGCACAATACAATACGTAATATATAAAAATATAACATTTCTAGTATTGCTCATATAGTTAATACTGTTGGGTAAATTTTCTAATGGCTGCGTTATCTATTAATTTCTACATCAGCTATCTCCCAAGGTTTTCTACAATGTCTAGCACTACTATACCTCTATTTTTACACAATATAGTGTGTATTGTCCCCTGCATATTTGTAATGCAGTGAAGCTTTTGATTTTGGGATTTCTAACCAAAGATGTAAAAACAAAAAATAAGTTCCACAATTCCATTTGTGATGCTAAAGTACATTTCATTACTGCTGAATTATTCATGGTGCTTTACACATTCAAGAAAGAGAGGAAAAACATGAAAAATAAGCATTTTCTTTTAAACCAGACTGGATTTAGTTGTAATAGACTGTGGACTAATGCTTTTTATAATAAAATTATGTGGTAGGAATACAGACAATTAATATGAAACTATAATTGCTTTAACAGTACAGATTTAGAAATATATTTCTTTCTAGAGCCCTGTAAACACCCACAGAGAGGAAGGGTAGGAAGGATCAGGAATCAATAGCACTGTGTTTTCCAAAATAGAAGCTCTAGGATAGCTATGCCTGGCCACAACAAAATGACTTCTGTTTCTTCACTCTTCCTTGTCCCAGATATGTCAGGAGCTGCCATCTCCAATCAGAAACCTGACAAAAGGAATGTTGCACAACACAACCCATTCCAGTGAATCACGTGGCATTGAGGGAGGGGGCGAGGGCTGCCCGTACGCTGCTGCTGCTGCCTTCAGCCACCCGGTGGAAACGCTCCCCATGCAGAGCAAGACTTGGAATGCCAAAGCTGGTGGAGCCATGAGCTGATGGAGATCAGAGTGAAAATACTCCGTTCTCCTCAACAGCAGCACCTAGCTACTGACATCAGCTACTAACAGAAACAACAAAATGCCATACAAGGTGTAAATAAGTTCTGCAAAGGTAAATGTGCACATCGGAAAATTTAACTGAGATGTTTAAGTCAACCATTAAACATTTATCTTCATTTTTCTGTTGATGGAAGACAGGCTTATGGTTCGTTCAAACTAAATAAAATTAAGAGGAAAGAACCCATGATTTGCAAGTTGAAAAGGGTTTTCTGCTGGCTTTAAAAACAAACAAACAAACAAACAAAAGCAAAACAAAACAAACAAACAAAAAGAACAGAAATAAAACCTTTTCTAATTCTGCATTTAGAAAAGAAAGGAAATTGCTGACATTTAAAACACATCTGCTGAATCAAAATGCCATTTAATTGTCCTATTTCTGTGCTACAACAAAGAAAATTTTAAATCACGTTTGAATGTACTTTTTTTTTAATTTCCTACTTACATATCTCTGTATCCACATGGATAGGTAATATTCCACTTCAAAGCTGAACTACGTTCCAATATTTGCTTCCTTAAAAATCCTTGTGAATCCAATGAATAGCAAATGAACTAGCAGGCTGTTCTTCAGTAAAAAATAGAAATGGGTGGAAAAAGACACTTTTTTTTTTTTTCACTGTAAAGATATTTAGGCCACTCACAGAAAGCCACGTTGTCCCCTGATTATTCACCCTTATTTTAACACCATGGGGACTGCCCTTGAGGTGTGCATATAACACTTTGGCTTGAAACACAGAAGTTTTTAGTCAGA